TTTAAATGGGAACTCTACTGATTTTCAAATCAAAGGCCGTTAGCAGGTCGTTGAGGGGTTCTACCGCATAATGTGTAAAAAGTTACTAAAGCTTTTTTTTGTCTCCAGAGGGAGCAATGCCAAAACTGATGAACTGCTCTAAGTGATGTCACTTGAGCCAAAGTCAATTGAGGCTGAAGAATAACACTTTGAAAGTGAATACATTTAGGGGTGTTTAATTAAAAACAAGTGAGCTTACCTCATCTCTGTTTTCTAGCGACACTGATTTAGCTGCTTCTAGTATAATGTGCCAAAATCAGCCCTCAAGGGAGAGCGCCAGTCCCTTTTCCTTGTGGCCAAACTGTGGGACTACAACTTCCGCGTCCGCCACATAAAGCCATGGGTCCCAAATATCCTTTTTCCCATAGACTTAACTTGGGAACAGGACATCTGTAAATCAGCATTTTTATGTAGTTGAGCTTAATCAACTTAAAAAAATAGTCCTTAATTGCAAGCTAATGTGTGTGTGAGTGGAGGTGGGAGGCGGGTTTATGTATCTCTAAGGGTCCCATGGATATGGAAGGTCTGGGTCCTGTTATACTCACTATAAGTCAGTAACAGTCAAGATTATTTGTTTGGCTCTATGCACTACTGAGCAACCTTTTATAGGAATGAACAGTGTCGCAGCCTCAAAAGGCTGTATCCAGGTCTCTTTATACATCCACTGCCCAAATCTTTAACCAATCTGTGGCAGGTTGCACAGTGGGTAATGAAGGCTCCAGGTTTTAACAGGACTATATGCAAATGTGCAGAATGTGTTTTATCTGGTTCAGCTGCATCAATTTCTTAATATTATTTTTATCCACCCTGAGTTGGACAATGTTGTGGCTGTGCGATTCTAAAAGGGTGGAGCTCTAGTCTATATACAGTCTATGAGCTCAACTTTAGGGCCGAATGCTTGGCTTTTGGCAGGTTTTGCTGTGTGTCACTGAAACGGTGTCAGCTTCTAGTCACTACACATTAGTTTCGAAATATGTCGACAAACCACTTGAGCAGTTGCAACAACAACATGCAGATTATATGCAAATGTAAAAAATATCGGGCTGCACCTGTGTGAACACACATGGAGGTTTAGAGAAAAATGTTTATTGTACACACGCTGATCACACTTATCCCACAGTTAAGACCAAAGGATAAGGGAAGTATTTGTTGTGTTGCTGAATGTGTACAGCATTCAACTGGCTGATTATCTGGGAAATACAAAAAAAAATGTCTGAAGCTTGTAGGCCTTTTTGTTGATCCAGACAGTTTGATTTGTCACAATACGAAGAGCACTTAATGATGTCTGGTCCCTCCAAGCCACGACAGAGTAAGAGTCAGCCAACACTATACCAGAACTGAAGCACTTAACATAATTCTTAAGGGTTGTAATTGTATACAGTATGATATTTTGTATGTTTCGTGTTTACTATGATTTTGCTGGGATTTCTTAGTTCAGCGCTATGAATTTTTTTCGATCCCCTATCTTTGCTCTCAACATCTTATACGAAAATGTAAACATTTTTTTTTTTTTATCATATCGGGATTGGCTATAGAATTTCTGTATCAGTTAAAAACAATACATCTGTTGCATCCCTTACTTAAAATCATTAATCATTGACTTTGTTATTCCCATGTGCTTTGCTGTGACATGTCAACATGTCTTCTGCTGAGACCAAGAATCATTGTATTTATATTAGCTGAGAATGAGACTTTAATATCTATAATATAGTGGGTCCCTTTTTACAAGGTACGCCATGTTGCAAGGTCATCTTTCTACTTTAGGACAAACCATACAGTGGCACAAGAAAAAGTAATTTTGGGTTTTATCATTACCTGAAGGCCACCATAGCTCTGAACCCGGCCATGGCATGAATTAGTTGCTTCTAATATTGTGTTACGGTGAAGATGGCCTCTGAGCAAGGCAAAGGTCCTGAAAGAGACCACAACGTTACAGTACTTAGTTTTGCACTTGGTAGATCGTTATCGCTGTATTGTAAAGGGAGGGGGAGAGGAAGGGTATTCAGTTTGTTCCAATTTGCAATCACCCCACTAGATGCCACCAAATCCTACATATTGTCCCTTTTAAGGATTATTACACTTACACAACCCTTCATTATGTCAAACATTGCACAGCAGTGAAGAAAATATTTTTCTACCAAAATAATGACTTGGTATCTTGTTATTTTGAGAAACTGAGTCAGTGTATTTTGAGAAAGTTTCCATAGCATCTCTAAGTAGCCAAGTACAATGCATCTCTAGTTTATACCCTGACAAGAATTCTGGATTGTTCAGACAAATCGTTGTTAATAAGGTTGTAGACCAGTGTTGTAATGACATAGCTGCAACTGTGCTTGAGGTCTTCGTCATTTTTCACCACACCCTTCAGCAGTTCTAAATTGTTTCCCACTTGTTAAACCGGTTAGACTACTTGGAAAAACTGACTGCAGGATATTTCACAACAACTTTGATTGCTTTTCTTGTCAAACATTAACATTTCGTTTTAGTCTGCATCCACATGATTGGTTGTGTTGAGAGACGGACAGCATTACTTCCTGTTTAATAATTGGCAAGGCACGGCTGAGCTGGTATTTAAAAAAACGATTGCACATAGCTATAAAATGTTATACTAACTCTTTCTAGGAGTGAAGAATGGCAAATGATGGAGAGCATATAATGGTTTTATTAGGCTGTGATCAGGGTGACTGATAGAGGGAGACCCTGGAGCACTCGCTGACCCCATCTCTAATGATCCTCCTCATTCTGGCCCATGATTGCTGTTAGAGATTCCAATTAGAAAGCATGTGTGGAAGCCCTAGCGTAACAATAGGCCTTAATCGCCATGAGTTATCATCTAGACTCATGTAATTGAGCCCCCATCTTCAGGGGCAGCACATCTGACAAATTGATTTAATACCAAAGTGATTCTCCACCCCTAATAGCACTTGGGCTTCTTCACTCATGGGCTACAGGCACTGAATTCATTGTGTGTTGATTACTAACTGGCCAGAAACCTCTCTCTCAGTCCACCCACTTGAGAGAGCTCAACAACACAGACAGACAGACAGACAGACAGACAGACAGACAGACAGACAGAAGCCCATAATCTCTACGTGGTCCTTCTCAGTTAATCATGTAATTTCTTCCCACGAACATGTGTACCTGAAGGTGTGAGTGTGATAGCTTCGTCCCACTACCTGAGCAGGTCTGACCAGTCTTGTATGCCACCATGTGACTACCTGTTTGAACTTGTCTCTCTAGGAAAGAAGTTAAAGGTGTACACATCCCATTTTTGTTTATATATATATATATATATATATCTGAAGTTAAGGTATTGAGAAAGGAAACTGTTCTTGTTTGTTTTACAAATAAAATAATAATAGGTCTACACATTTGTCATATTTTCATAATGGGGACAGTGATGAATTAAAAAAAAATGTATGTGATTAATGTGCTGACAGTGTTATTTCTATAAGTTTACTTACGGAAAATACCTTCTAAGACAGGGATGGGCAAATGGCGGCCCGGGGTTTGTTATGCCTGCTATGCCACAAATTAAAATTATGGCATTGTTGTTCTCCAATTTAAAACAAATATATATATTTTATCTGTGAAGTTTGCATACAACCCAAATAATCTTTTGGAGGTTCCCAACGACCTACTCTGCATTATTCATTTAATATTTATATTAAAGGAGAACATGTGATGGTTCCTGCAGAACCTGTTGTTGGTGAACCAATCATTGTGGAATCATATCTATTGTAAAGCAGAGGTTAGTTGCAGTGGTAATGGCGATTGATGCCACTTTTAGATGTGCTCGCAAAGCTAATTATTTCTAAACGTTTTCCACATAGCCAAAACCAGGGAAAGCCACCTCGCACTGATATTTACATGTTGTATTTAATATAAGTATAGAAATGTAATGTATACTGTCTCTCAGAAATGAAGAGATGCTGATAAATGACATTGTTTTTGATCAATACAACTATTTACTTGTCAATCTCAATCTTTATTTATTTATTTATATAGCACATTTATAACAACCTCAGTTGACCAAAGTGCTGTACAGGGAACAAATATAAAATAACACAATAGGAGTAAAATAACAAAACCATAATTGAAAACAAGATTAAAACGCACAATAACTAGAAACGTAAAAAAACGCATACAAATATCAAAATGTTGTGCTCAACTAGTATTAAAATCAGTGCAAAGAGATTAGTTTTTAGCTAATATTTAAAAAGTTCATTAGACTGAGCAGTGTGGATTTGTACTGGGAGGCTGCTCCACAGTCTGGGTGCTGCCACAGCGTAAGCGCCTGTGGTTATTGTCCTGCACAGAGGAACCACACACAGCTGAGCACATTGCTCTAGCTGGAGCACGCAGGTGCAACAACTCAGACAGGTAGTGTGGTGCCAGTCCATGCAGCGATTTAAAAACTTTAATGAGTAAATGTTGTAACTGACAGGAAGCCAGTGAAGATCTGCCAGAACAGCTGTGATGTGGTCATATACTCTCAGCCCGGTAAGAAGGCGTGCAGCCACATTTTGGACTAGCTGCAGGCGACGGAGCAAAAACTTATCAACACCAATACACAGGGAGATACAATAATCTAAAAAGGACGTTATAAATAGGTGGATGATCTGGTGATTTACTTGTCATTCTGCTTTTCTATTTTCAAGTTTTCCAATTAACCATGGACATTTGTAGAGTTAAAACATTTATTTTTAAAATAAATGTACAGCAATCAAACGGCAAATGTTGACAATTAGTGTCAAATATATTTTTTCAATGTTCAGCGATTTGATGTGTCATCTGTTATAATCGTTATTACTATTGTTGTTGTTATTATATATGCTCTCCAACTATCAGCAGTTGCCATTGAAAAGCCCACGTCACGTAATTAAAGTAAATATGATCTGCATCCACATCACGGGGAACTTGCTGTATGTTTGCTCACCGTGTATCTTTTTCTTCATCAGGGCCGCAATGGCCGTCACGAGCAGATTGACTTCCTTACCAACAAAGAAAAGCCGTCGTCAAAGCGGAAGATCGGCATGGTGATCGGGGCTGTGGTGGCTTTTCTCATCCTTGCCGCCGTTGCAGCATTCCTCATTTGGCTGTTTCTCTGTGAGTATAGTTAGATGCTTCCCTCTTATATATCATCCACAGTAGAGTAGTCTTGAAGTTTGAAGCACAGTGCTTTAATATGTCTGGAGATGTTGGACATGTGGTGGACAGTTTTTGACATAAATCAAAGTTATTCTAAACAGAAATAAATGAGAAATTAGCTGAATATTTAAATTATTTAAATCAGTTACTGCCAAGACAGCCATAACATCAGATACTGCAGAGTGGATCATTTGCACTTACTGTGAAGACACAGCTCTTTGATAGAAGAGTGTAAGAGTGGCTTGTTTGGACTTTGTAATTTCCCATTAGTGTTTGCCTATTTGACAGCTCGGACTTTCTGCTTTTAATAATGCAAAAGAGACAAATGTCACAAAGACTAAGGCGCAGCTTCCTTGTCATTTACTCATACTGGGTTTGATGAAAAGGCCTCTGAAGTGTTGATAAGCAGCCTCTTGATTCAACTGGCTGCTTTAATTGCTCTGAGAGCCGAACTGTCTGCTGGATATCAGATCACACTGTACAACTTTGAAATGGTGCTTCAGGCTCTCTTTAAAGCTCTACTCTTCTATCAGAGGGAGCTATCTTATAGCATTTTGTTGATCAAACACTGAACTCACACCTGCCTCTCCCCCAAGTTAAAGACGCTGATTCAGAAGGCAGTTATAATATGCGGCTCGGGCCTTCAAAGCAGGTCTACAGTGGGCATATGAAGTTGGTTGATGTACCGTATGACCAGAAGCTGGAGGACACCAACAGCAAGGAGTTCGGCAAATTGGCAGACAACCTGGAGGCACTAGTGAGTTTCACATAAGATGAGTTTCCTGTGTTTCTTCCCCTTTCTTTCAGCTATCCTATTTATTGTTAACTATTTTGAGCACAGTGTTACATTCTGTTCCCTTTTCTCAGTGAGGATTAGCTGTGAAAACGCTTTTAAAAAATGCCCCTCCCAATGCAGAGTTACTGCTGAAGGCACAGTAGCGTGGGCGGGATAAAACGCTGCACATTCGCTTCGTGATTCCCTCAACAGCATCTCCTATTATTGGAGGCAGTGGAGATGTTTGTAGCACCACTTAGGAGCAAGTTGATAGCAACAACAAAAAAAAACATCAAGCGCACACAAACGTACATAAGTGAGGGTAAGGATTAGAGTGGAGCTGGAATATTAGATCACTAGATGATTGAGGGGAAAAAGCTTTTTGATGTACTAGCTTTTTTTGCAGTTACATACAACAACAAACAGGATAGCTTTTTTAAGGAACAGTTTCAGGTCTACGTTAGTGTTTACACTATTGGGAAGTATGGCTTTAAGTAAACAATGCTTGGCTTAAAAACACCCTTGAGATAGAGATGTCATGTTCAACTAACTGTATTCTGTCTCTAGAGTCCTTGAGAAAATATAGTTTATCCTCTCTGTCTCTAAAGTTGTTTTAGTAAAATGCTAATGAGTTTACTTTTGATGTTGCTAATTTAAACTAATAGTCATTTTGGTATATTGATATTTATATAATCTCCCAATGTCATTTGCTGCTAAATCCCTAACATTACAGATGAAACCTGCTCATGCTTTCTTACTCTTTTCTTGACGTTAGATGTTGTATATGCATAATACATGTTGGTGTCTAACCTGCATTTAAAACTACAAAGAATGACTCCAGCCTCGTCTGGTACACTTCGCAGCTGAAGGCAAAACACTTAATTGAGAATCCCATTGTTGTGTGCTTTGCATGGGAGGCGGTTTTTATGTTAACATACTAATTTGTACTTCTGTCTTCAGGCAGACAAGCAGTCCTTAACATGTTCTTTTCAATAAAACCACACATCTTTTATACACAGCTTTTACAAAACTACAAGAAAGATCCACTCCTCGGAAAATACTACAGCCAGTCTGTGGTCACTGCTTTCAGGTAATGAGATGTTGAGATTTTTCTCTTTTTTTATACTGCTGAGCAGATGGTGAAAACTTCATGAAAAAAATGTTCACAATAAATCTTGCATGAAGAAAATGCTATGTTGCACTGCCCCCTGGGAGTTCAAAAAGTTGTATTTTGTCGAATAAAATCAAGGTTAGATGAGGTCTGTTGACAGTTATGCGTTAAGCATTGGACACTAGTTGATTTAGACATTTTTGTTCAATCTGTAATGGTAAATCTGCTTGATTTGTCTACTAGGAATATCAGTAATTGTCATGTTCTATTAATCTGTGCTTATTCTTGAATTTTGAAGCTTGTTACTAAAAACTCTCTTTATGCTCTTCCTTCCCAACCTCCATCCATTTCTCTCTCATCTCTTTTTCTACCAGTGAGGGTGTCATCGCCTACTATTGGTCCGAGTTTATTATTCCTGTTGAAGACCTGGAGATCGAGCCGGAGTTCTCAGAGGAGCGAGTGCTGGAGGTGTTGGAGAAAGGCATGAAGGAGCAGCGCAGCCTTGGGAACCCCAAGGATATCAAGATTAGTGAAGTCACAGCCTCAGGTAGGTACCATCAGGGCCAGGGAGGAGGAAGGGGGGAGGGGGTGGGGAGAATCATTACACCAATAGGCAGAAAGATGGGGTGAAGATGGAGTATGCTACATCTGGCTGCCTTTTATGACATCAGCCTAAGATAAAACTCTGCGAATACAGATCTTAAAACACTGTCATCTCCTATCAGCATTGGTATTCTGTTTGGTTTCTATTCGTATTAAAGGAGCTTGCTTTGAGTTGTGCTGATAAGATGATAACAGATAAGCCAGGCCCCTCTGCTTGTGCTGCATCTGAAATTGCACATTCAATGCTGTTTGGACCCTCTAATGATATTAGCTGGGCTCTGGCCTGGCTTGAGACAGCCATTTTTCTTCCTTCCGCTCTATCAGCATTCACATTGCATTTGTCCACGTCCTGGCCCACAGCCAAGCGCTGGCCCTGTGACTCAGTGGTTTTTTGGTCCTCTTTTAAAATGATTTCTGTGGGTATGATTTGATGTCGCTGTCCCAGATAGTTAGACAGAGATGTATGGGTTGCTGCTGCAGGGCAAGGTGAGATGGAGCAGAAAGTGCTACACACCATCACCAGTTCCCATAACTGCAGGGAAATTGAACAGAAAATGTGCAAACCAAATATTTTAGGGCTCATGCATCAAATCGTTTCAACCCTCCCAACATCAGCGACCCATTCTTACCTTTCCTCCTGTTTTTCTGCCACTCTCTCTCCATCTCCAGCCACAGATTCCCGCATGGCCAGGAACCCCAGAGCCAGTGAGTACAGCGTGTCCCATTTCAATCACTCAAAGTTGTAATTTTCCAGCTGGCTAGATGCTCACCCCCCTACCAGTCTTTAACAAATGCCTGGCCTGTACTGTACATGTGCGGCTGTAGTCAGAGATGGAGATCCCTGCGTCAGGCACACAAAACACTTTTTTCTTTAACACTGCTGATGTATTACTATTAGGATGATTAGACTGAATTACATTAACTTAGTAGCTGTACCATCTTACATTAATCTATTTTTCAGATACATCTATAACATAAAGGATGGAATAGTTTGACTGTTCAAATGTGTCATTGTTTTTACATAATTAAATTTTGCATAATTGCAAATAAAAGTTACTCATCATTTTTATGCCCACTGTATGATTCAACTAATCTTATTTATTCCCAGATGAGTGTTTCTTCCGTCTGGAGGCTTCCGGCACGGCAAAGACATTTCATTCACCAGGCTACCCTAAGGGCTATCCCCCCAAGTCACGGTGTCAGTGGCAAATACGAGCTTCAGAGGTTGACGCCATAATGGTTTCTTTTACTTCTTTCCACATCGAGGATGACTGCTCAGATGACTTTGTCTCCATCTATGACTCTTTGAGTCCAGATGACTCGCAGGCCATCACAGAGTAAGTCAGAGGGCTGAGAATGTCCTGGCAGTTTGGAAAACATGTTGGTCATGGTACATGGTCATAAGGGTAGGGGCAGCATTTCTTGCACTAATGACTCTGAAGTAAAGGCAATAATCTGACTTGATTTGCTTCCACTGTAAAATAAATTGTGACACAAATCAAATTCTCATTTGATCTTACACCTTGGTAGCAGGGTTTGTTTAATAGGGTTCAACCAACATTTGTCTAATTGATTTAGCCTTGACGATCAGAGGGAGGGGGAATATAGTTCTGCGTGATTCCCACAGGAAAACCACGAGGTATCACTTGACTGAAATGTTGCAGAAGGGTTTAGGAGTAAAAGCTCTTTTTGCTGTGTGTGGAAAACATGTTCCACTTAATTCCTTTCAGTAGATTTGTGATTACAACTTTTTTTTTGTGAGTTGGCCCTGAAGCCTTTAGCACTGCATGTCTCTTTTTATTGTTGACTTTTGAGACCTCGTGAGATTGAGTTGGCTCAAAAAGACCTCTGCTTTCAAATCTGTGAAGGTTGCCAACCCGAATCCTGCTACACCACTGTGTGTAATTGCACTTTGTCTATGGGGGAGGGCTGTGATTCTGAAACTACAGGCTCCTGTATGCAACATCAGTTGTAGCTGCAGGCAATTTCTAACTCTGAAATCATTGCCAAACAAATATGCTTTACCAGGCGATGCATAACATTTTATAAATCTATTGAGCGATCAGTTTTATCCAAGGTGACATGAGGTTTATGAGAGCCATAATATAATACTCTCTAATGACATTATTCTACTAGAGGTAGATGTATTGCTGATCTTGCGGCGTCATTCACACCTCCATTGCTCTGCCTCCAGCAGTGCTGAAACTTTCTGCTAATTCACCTAATGTTTGACTTTGAAACTCCGCCTAAGCATTTTCTATCAACTGCTGGCACATCTCATCTCATGTATATCTTTTACTACCCCTCTCTGCTAATCTATTGATGTCCCTTTTCAAATGTGTGTGTGTGTGTGTGTGTGTGTGTGTGTGTGTGTGTGTGTGTGTGTGTGTGTGTGTGTGTGTGTGTGTGTGTGTCATGGGATGCGATGCAGACGCATTTCTTGGTGTGTAGGAGGAGGAGTGACATGCATGTTAAATAAGGTCTTTATGAACCAATCACCTCTTCCTCTGCTGTAGGTCCCTGCTGGGAAAGAGGTACGCCTGAGGTTCACCATGTTCCGCATGAAAGAGCCTGGGGTGGATATCCGTGTATGTCACAAAGACTATGTGGAGGTGTTGGGCACCAAGTAAGACATTCACTTATTTAAATGACACCTGATTCCCTGCAACCGTCACGGTTGACAGATTAACTGTTGGTTCAACTTCGACCCACTACAGTTCAGTTTTTCTATGAATTTACATGTATTTTAGTTGGTCTTCCTCACAAGAATATTGTAATTATTCAGATACTTTACGAGTGTTTTGTTTAGGAAATGTCTCAATGCTCTTTTTTTGTTTACCCGTTTTGGTCACGGTATATCTAAAACATCTAGTATTCATTTTTGTATGCAGTCTTAACGCATGCTCACTATTTCCCAAATACATACATGTTTCAGAACAATGTGTCCTATGGTGGCACGCGCAGAACTTGTCATGCGAGTCCAGCAATATTTAAATAGGGAGACATTTATATTACCGTTTTGGTTGCAATTATTCTCTAATATCGATCAGCAAGTAATCATCAGAATAACTACAACAATTAAAACATTGTTTTCCTTTAAACATATGTCTTGTGTCCCAGGTATTGTGGCGAATTGTCCTCTTTGGCTCTGATCAGCAAAAGCAACGTCCTAGAGGTGATGTTTCACTCCGACGAGTCCTTCGCTGACAAAGGCTTCAGTGCCGAGTACAGCGCTTACGATCCCGCAGACCGTGAGTAAAGAGTCCCGTCTCTCACCCATTTTTACATGGCATTTGGCGGGAAGGCTGAAATGTTGGGATGTGACAGGGACACTCATAGCCTGCCATTACAGAGTCAGACAGGGTTAGGGGAGTAGCTGTGAAGACTGAGAGACGATGAGATGGCAGCTGTTTGACAGTCAAATGGAGCCGTTTAGTGATAAAGGCTTAGGAACTGCAACAAGAGCTAGACTAATCACCAGATAGCTTGTTTATTGGGTCCATTTGATTTGCCACTGTCAGTCAGGAGCACTCCACTTATAATGGCTCTGATCAACAGGGACAAGGATTGGCAATGTGATGGATGTTTTGAACATACTGTGTCACTCCCTTATTCTTTCTTTTTGTAATCATATTTTTTTCTCCTTCTTGTCTTTGCTCCTTCAATATTTTTTCTGTTGTTTGGGAATAGCTTGCCCCGGCAAGTTTGCCTGCGCCTCCGGCATCTGCATCACAAAAGACCTGAAGTGTGATGGCTGGAATGACTGTGGTGATATGAGCGACGAGATGGAGTGCAGTAAGTTCCCACACGACCAGACAGCACTTTTTCTTTTGTTACTCCTTTCCTTATTTCATATCCTCTTCTCATATGAACACCTACTTGCCTTCTTGAGAGAGATATATGACAAGAGAACATCAATACCATGCTCATAAATTCCCCTTAATATGTATATTTTCTATTTTATTTTATTTTTATTCTTGTTTATTTCTAAACAACAATATTTGTTTTATTGTAAAATGCCTTGTATTTTAACAATAAAACAATTTCCCAAATTGGGATCAATAAAGTACCATCTTATCTTATCTCTTAAATATGAGGCCATGGCCAGGCAAGAAGCTAGTTAGCTTAGCATTAAGACAGAAACACAGGGAAATTACTCACCTGGCACTGTCTAAAGGTAACTAAATCAGAAGAGTATGAACACGTTTATTGGGTGATTTGTTACGGTCTTACCTTCATATTAATGTCACTAGGCTCCATGAAGTAACTTACTGTAAAACAAGCCCTCAGAAGCAGGTACTGGTGTCCAATATATGAGTGATTTGGGTTGGTGAACGATCCCTTTTCACTTGTATAATCGTCCTCAGTTGCATTGATTAATACACACTATTTTCTCTTACTTCAGAGTGTGAAACTGATCAGTTTAGTTGTTCCAATGGCCTGTGCAAACCGAAACTCTGGGTGTGCGATGGAGTCAACGACTGCGGAGATAGGAGCGATGAAAAGAGTTGCAGTAAGTATTGCAAAGCCTATAAAATGCTAATTGTGCTAACATTAAAGGCACATCACTGCTAATACTCTGGTCACTGTCTCAGTCATCACTTTATTCCGTAATGGAGTTTGTTTGAAGCACTGCCCAATTTTCTCATCACTATCTTTCATTGGCTCCAGGTTGTCAGCCGAACGAGTGGCACTGTGGTAACGGGGAGTGTTTGTCTCATGACGTTGTGTGCGACAAAAAGATAAACTGTGAAGATGGAAGCGACGAGGCCTCTTGTGAAACCTGTAAGTGGCAGCACTTATTATTTTTCCCAGCCAGTTAATATATTCAACAAGTATGTTAAACAATTAACCTTCATCTGTAAAGTTTTAAGTTTTACAAAGACATTGCACTGCCAACTTTATTCATAATACAAAGCATATTTCCTGTCACTGTTCACATTCTCCCTGCTCTTTCTAACATTTCCTCCCCTTTCTACTTCCCTCTTTATCAATTTTCCTTGCACTCACCTAGTCAAACACACACACACACACACACACACACACACACACACACACACACACACACACACAGGACTTTCTTGTATTTCCTTTTGATTTGTACTTCTGTGAACAAAGAGGTATATTAGACCTCAACCCCAATCAATACCCCAAATCAATGCAATCTGCTCCTCAATCACTACACATTGTGCATTCAAGCCTCACTTTAAAGCCCCACTGATTGCATAGTATTTTACTGGTTAAACTTAGCAATCATCTAACGCTTTGATTGAAATACGCTATGTGTTTTGATTTTGGGACCTGTCTCCACCCCATTGTAGCTCCAGGCGTCTGCTCTGAGTTCAGCTTTAAGTGCGGGAACAGCGACTGTGTCAACAAGGTGAATGCCGAATGCGACCGCGTCAAAGACTGCTCTGATGACTCAGACGAGGACAGCTGCTGTAAGAAATGTTTTAATCTCTTTCCCCTTCCAAAATTAAGCTTTTTTTTAAAACATATTTTAAAACAGCTGAAAGTGGATCTAATCTCTTCAGTGTCATTCAAACTAGATTATAGCAGAGCTGGGTTGAGCTGCGCGTTGGGCTGTCTGTTAGAAAAGAGCCCCAGGCCTTGACTACTTTATTTATTTCATTCGTCTTTGAAAGCAGCTCTTGTCAGCCCTGAAGTTTTTTGCTTTTTCCTCCATTTAGGCCTCAGGGTGTGTCTGTTTTTTCATCAACTAATATGCCAGTGTGCCTTATTAGGATTCCAGAGAGTCATATAACAGTTAAGGCCAGCATCATGATTGCTTCCAGTAATCTCTTTTTTTCGATTATGCATGCCATTCTCTCCAAATATTTTGCTCTTACCCTCCAATGCTCCTCCTCTCTCATTATATCCTCTGTTAAATGTCAGCGTGTGGCACCAGGCCGTATAAGCTGAACCGCATCGTGGGAGGGCAGAACGCTGCCGTGGGGGAATGGCCCTGGCAGGTCAGCCTTCACTTCCTGACCTATGGGCATGTGTGTGGGGCCTCAATCATATCTGAGAAGTGGATCCTCTCCGCCGCCCACTGCTTTTCAACCACCAGCCCAGAGTGAGTGACAGCTCAAACACCCATAGACTGTACCAAGTAGATAGTATAGTAACACATCCACTCTTTTTTTGGTTTAAAAAACATTATTAGTGTTTGGTTTATCATCACATTTTTCAACCTTTTTATTAAATTCCATTATGCATTATTCTCAAACAGAACTCTGCTCAACAGAGGAGTATTTTATTCAAATTGTTAAATCGGAAAATTAGCCACTGATGGAGTTAATTTAGAAAAACCTTGGGGAGGGGGGCAGAATTTACATCTTAACTATGAAAGCATGGAGCTGTATTCACAAGAGTGCCCTGTAGGTGGAGCACAAACCCTGCTGTTAGACCTGAGCAACCTCTATTGTTGTTGAGAAGGGATTGTGTTCATTTTCAGTTGTTGATGATATTTGATAAACAAAATGATATTTAATTTTCAAGCTTTTTCTACATTACTTTATATGGAAGCCACAACAAAGATATTTAGTCATCTATCATCGTAAGTCGTTTTGCATATTTATGAACAGATCTAGCACCTACAGTATATCAATAAAATGAAATGCAATCCAATAATCCAGCACTACCTTTGTGGTTTATGATATTCTGTTTTTCTGTTAGAGAGGTTGCTGAATTGCTTTCCATTGAGTTTACAGTACTAGTAGCATAGGTTGCAAGGCATGTGTAGATTGTTACTAGATTGCACATAAGTTTATGATGTTGCATACATCCATCCTGGCTCCCATGTAACCTTTGCCCTGCATGCTTCCAAAGGAATCATGTTGCCTCCAACTGGCAGACCTACAATGGCATGCAGGACCAGTACAAGCAGGATGGAGTGCAGCGCCGTCCAGTGAAGAAGATCATCACCCACCCAGATTACAACCAGATGACCTTTGACTATGACATTGCACTGCTGGAGCTCAGCGAGCCGCTGGAGTTCACCAACACCATCCAGCCCATCTGCCTACCCGCTCCCTCCCACATCTTCCCTGCAGGCACGTCCTGCTGGGTCACAGGCTGGGGCGCGATGCGAGAAGGAGGTATTATGCATGAATTGAACATTTTGGATAGAACTGTCATTTGTTGTTTCTCACTGTTACTGGTTATTATATATTTATGCTGTGTTCTCTCTCAATTCGGAGTGACCCACTCTACAGTTGTGTTTTCCCTTTCTGCATATCCAACTAAAATTTAAGACATCCCACTCCTCCCCCCCATCTTTCTCAAAATGAGTTATTCATCTCTGTCCTTCATCTTCCTCCCCTGCCTACTTCCTCCTTCTTCCCTTTATCTCGTTCTCATTTCATCCTTTATTCCGCCTTTCCTTTAATGTCCCTCCCATTTCTTTATCCTTCCCATCATGACATATTTCTCTTCCACTCAACCCTCCCTCTAGTTTCCCCTCTCATCTTTTTATCTCATCTGCTCTATTCCATTAAGCCTTCCGTCCATATCCATATATCAAGACAGACGTTGGCTCTCCTGGGAAGCCTCTTAAACCTTCATTAGCTTACACTAATCCAGACCATTAACACCTTTTGATGTTAGTGACGAACACAGAGGCCATGTGACCCCTTTGTCCTGCTCTTTCAGGTTCAAAGGCTCAGCTACTGCAGAAGGCGAGTGTGAAAATCATCAACGACACGGTGTGTAACGTTGTCACCGAGGGCCAACTCACCTCCAGAATGCTCTGCAGTGGATTCTTGTCCGGAGGAGTTGACGCATGCCAGGTGAGACCAATCAACATGTTCTCCAGAATAGAATAGAAGGACAAAAGGCTGATGTAGAAAGGTTTTCACACCCGTATAATCATCATGCTCTCACATCCAAAGCCGATCTAATAATTGCTCTCCTGTCACCAGGGAGACTCCGGGGGTCCCCTGGTGTGTTTCGAGGAGAGTGGGAAATGGTTCCAGGCCGGCGTCGTGAGCTGGGGCGAGGGCTGTGCTCGTCGGAACAAGCCGGGTGTTTACACGCGCGTCACCAAGCTGGTAGACTGGATCAAGAAGGAGACAGGGATTTGATGAGCTCGGTAGGATCAGAAAAGGGACACAGAACGGGGAACAACTTGAAAGTGCTAAAAATAATGGAGACGGAACTTTGAGTCGTATTCAGGACAAGTCTCTCCAAGATCTATTCATGTAGCAGCAGACAGCTGAGGATACTGCTGCACCGACCCAACTACTCTCATGAATGACCTAAAGCAACTTATTTTATGTAGACGAAACTCTGCAAAGTGTCTTTTGACACACATCAAAATAGTCATATTTCACTGGTGAATGTATCCTAAGAGAAAATGAGGAAATATACATATTCTAACAATTTTGTTCCTAATATTTTTCAAATGTAACTTTTTAAGATGGATGGAGAAACTGAAAAGGTTATATAGTTTAAAAATAAGGAAATATGTCTCTTTTGGCTCTCTTGGGCTGCAGTCAGTTTGGAACTGTGCCAGTCGGTTAATGCTGTAAAAAACTATAAATTGAGGTTTTTATTAATCGAATATCCTATCAGACCGTAAATGGGGTTCGGCCTATTTGCAACAAACAAGTTATCTACATGTATTTTCCAAAGCATTGCATAGGTTTTTATATTGATTAAACTATTTTTATTTAGCCATTAGTCTCAGTTTTTATCAGTAAACATGAACTTTTAGCGCTGTCTGCATTGCCATGTATTTTTTATGATAAAAACAAAAGAACAAGATAAAGAATCATCATGATGCTCAAATCCATGCAGGGGCATTTTCATAACATACAAACATTTTCAAGCCAAAAAGTCATGTTTGGTAAACCGAATTGTACCAACTGTACGTTTCTTTTTGAGTTGTTGTTGATCAAACCAGTGGTCATAGTCATAGATCAGTATTTGTATTACATATTTACAGATGCTTACTCGGCTTGTCTGGTCTGGAGTTTCCTCTCTTTGGTCACTGCAAACTCAGTGAACTTTTAAATCTCAAATTTGACAGGATGGGTCTTTTATATTTGCTCTTATCTGCGATTATTCCTGCAAATATTGTTGTCTGGATAAGCAAACCAAAGATTTGCAAAAGTGTTATTTATTTAAGGGGTAAAAATTAAGAAGAAAAAAATGTTGAAGGTATTACTCAATGGATCTCTTTTTCATAATTGTAAATGTGTATTGTGTGAAAGCGGGGAGAAGCCTCAACTTTAAGATATTTTCTTGTACAGTGTCTTTGGAATATGGACATTTTATAACCTTTGTTTGTTTGTCTGTGCTTGCAAATGTTTTTATACTAATGAGTCTTAGCAATAAACATATTTTATCGTATTCCTCATCACCTAATTGCATCACCTGTATCATTTGTCTTCGACTAGGTCTCGCTTTGTATTATGTTGTGCATAATAAATGCGTGTCTTGTGAGAGCTTGTCTCTCCTCACAGAAGAATTGTAATGAGCATGTACCTCTCCTCCCCGCCGTGAGCAGCGCGCCTGCCTGGGGAACAGAGGTGACAAGCTGAACTCATATTGTCGAATAATACCTGAGCTCTATCCTATTACCCTTCGAGATGGGCCTGTCGACTTCGGGAGGGGGATACACATACAGTGGGGGTTCCACCATCTCATCTGTCTTCATTAAAAGCAGCGCACCGCTGGGGGAATAGGAAAATCAACATAGACAGTGCTGCTAATTTATGTATTCATCATTGTTGCTACATGGGAAGCTTTGTTTTGTCGCTGTTCCCCATGCCCACCGAAGCTCCTCGGCAGGCTGATTAACTCTCAGGATTCACACCAGCCAGTTGTTTATCGGAAATGGTTTTATTTAAATATAAATATGTGTACAAAGGTACAAGCAACGATAGCTCATTATCACCAAATAAAGTCTTAATACATTATTAAAAGAATGAACAAACACATGGCAATTAGTTGTTCCAAAAAAAAGCATAGTAACTGCATTCAATGATTGATGAACAACTTAGAGAAGAAATTCTGTGGAACAAAATAAATCAACCAAGAAAGATACATATGTATATAAAGATACTTTACAATAGAGCAGCTTACACGCTGTACATTAAGGCTTATATAAAATATAAAAATAAAGACAAGCGATGATGTTTTCCTCCTTACTTGTGACATTTGTTCTCATCAGGCTGCCTGGTAACAGCTTTTTAGACAAATGGCAGTACAGGCGTCCATACTGAAACATCCAGGAAGTGGAATGCAACTGGGCCAGGTGCAGAAACCAATGTCTCAAACATGAAATGGACATGAATATAAACGCTGAAGATTTTCACTAGACACATCATTTGCATGCAACAGAGAGAAAGTATGGGCTCAGCCATTTGTACAGATCATTAAGTGTTTCAGGGTAGTACTGTTTCTTGTAAACATTGAGACAATTTGATTGAGATGTAAAACAAGTGTATGGTCCACATTAGGACAACCTTACATGTCTTTCCCCAACTGAGTCTGCTGAAGATGACGCTGCATTCAAGTTTATTTCAAGATCAAGATTGCCCCCATTCTGCAAACCACCACTTTTGATTGTTCGAGTATCAGCCTCGTCTTCATTTTAACAATCAGAAACAGTACCAGGGAATGGACAGCAGGCTTCAGCCCCAGTTTTCCCCCATACAATTATCACCATCTTTGGGTTTTCATGGCCTTATCGTGTCCATCTTGGTACAACACAGTTAACAAATAGCCCTCCATTACAATGATGGCTAAAATACACATTCTCTTCTTTCTCCTTCTCCACCGGTAAGCAACAATGCTATCCAACGTGTTAGGGTTAAAATCAGAAGAAGATTCAGGAATACAGCTCAGGCCAGAAGTATTCCACCACTGATTAAACTTCTACAGTGCCCGTAGCACTTGTTGGTCAGTAGAGCTAGCCTGTTGTGCAGAATAGTTTGTCTTTCTCTGTGGATAGCTCAGCCTTTTGTGAATGATCGACACAAATGTGCTTAGAATTTCTTTCGCATGCCAACAAAACACCAAATGACAGACAACAGTAGGTCTTTCATATCAGCTTTTTTGAACCTCGTAATGTCTTCGCTTGTAATGTCTTCTTTCAGTATTTAAGAGGTCACATTTCATAGTTCAGTAGACTCTGAAAGGCAGGTAAACAGCTACCCCAGTCATTTTGGCCACCCAAATTCAGGAGATGTATTTCATTTATTTTCTAGTTGGCCCTTGCACTGACAGAATATCTCCACAGGTTTGGGTGGCCATTATGTAGGCATTACCTGGTGAGGTATCACACTGTAATCATAACTCTGACTTGAACATCACAATCTGCTGAAATCTCCAGCTCAGGAGTTCTACAGTCAGCATTTTTGTAGATCCCGTCATCCAACACAACAAATAAAGGTTGGTTATCCAATAACCAACATAAATCATATGGCTCCCTCCATATACTGTCCAAACATGTCCTTGAAGGAACGTCCGAGTTAAGTAAGTCTCTGTTCATGTTAGTCCAGCCACACTTGAATGTGGAGGTGACAATGGTTATCGACTCACTGCTCCTGTGTTCTTCTTTTTCAAAATATTTTGTCCAATCAGACATGCGTCTGCATACGTTGTGAAGGCCGGCCATAGTCAGACTGCTGGGAGGATACTTGCGAAGAGGCATAAGAGAAGCGAGACGAGCTGGACACCTTGCTGGCCTGATCTGATTGGTCGTACGCATCCACCTTCTCATAGGAAGCTGGCTTAACGTAGCTGGTGAAGGCGCGGCCATAGGTGGCGGGTGGTAGGTAAGCAGAGCCACTGTAGGCGGGGTCAGTGGGGTAAATGCTAGCTGGCTGGGTGGGCTGTTGCTGGGCAGCCTGCTGCTGTTCATACGCCGTCCTGCCCGCTGTGGTGGTGGCGTACCGGTGGGAGAAGTCATAGACACGAGGCTGGGTGCCATGCTGACCGTATATAGGGCTGGGGGAGGGCAGCTGCGATGGAGTGTAGACTGGCCGAGTGTTGGGCACATATTCAGAGAACCCACTGCTGCGGATGTGGCGGTCCTCGTTACCATGGACATTATAGTAGCCATTGGTGGGGTCCTATGAGAATGAAGATAAATCATGAACTCTGCATGGTTCGGTTTTATGCATTAATGATGAAAAGAACGCATTCTCGCTGTTTTGAGAGTGTTTCTTTAAGACTGTTTTTTCAGTTGTACCTTGATGTCCGATCTCTCATCCTCCTCCTCTTCCAGGAGGTCGCTGTGTTCTGTGCGCGACGTCCCAGGAGACTCGCTGCTGTTTGGTGCCTGAGGGAAAAACCGAGAGTTTTTTGAAGAATTATTTAGATGAGCATGACCTCACTTGAATAAGAACAAAACAAAGTCGGAGCAGTACGGTGTTGCTGTGAATTTTCCATCAATAGAGATATCTATGTGGAATACAAAGACGGTGCTCAAAGAAATGTACCATTGGCTCTTTGACATCTTCTTCATCATCATTGCCACGTGTAGCGTTGTGATCACTATGAACAATCTGAACTCTGATGTCACTCTTGGATAGACGAGTGCACCTTTTACCTGCAAGGATTAAAAAGAAGAGTAGCTTTAGTAAACGAGCAGACTTCTCCATTACAATTTAAAACCCATTTATTACAGGGTGAAACGGCAAACAAATGTAACAAAAACTGTTACATTTTCAGCACACAAATGACAAAGACTCGATTGTGTTAGATTTGAAGAATTGGCTGTTGACCCTCTCGCCCATACTAACCATTGAGCTCACCTTTGCCTGTGTGCCTGCAGCAGAGGGAGACCAGAGTAATGACACAGATGAGCAGGACACAGCCTCCACCTACTGCTCCCCCCACAATTATCAACATCGGCAGGGCTTCTGTAACAAGAACAGGAATAGAGGAAAAGAGTGGGGTGGGGGGGAGTAGATAGTTGTCAGGAGAAGAGGAGGGTTGACAGGAGAGATAGTAGAACATAAGTGTCAATGTCAAGAACGTACAGATCAGAGCAAAAAGAAATAAAGAGATCCCTTCATTTGTCCTGCTAATCCCGGCAACGTCAGCGCCTATATCAATTCATCTGCGGTAAGCCCCCTGCCCGCTGATAGCTAGCATATACTCATGCGGGCAATCTGGCATCCCTCAGCCGGGCTATTGTCTATAATCTCTCTGAAAGAAGGGTAACACGGCCTGACATGCAATGAAGCAACAGACAGTAATCTAATTAGAGATTCCAGGAGATACCGCCGTCCATTTCTCCAGGGACCCCACTCGGCTACGTTGATGTAAATTGCTGGCGAGGACCTTATTTTTGGTGTCTGCTGCAACAAAGGCTTCCACTAGCACAGTGGAGTAGTACTACTAGCTTATTTTAAGATCACTTAAAAGAGGGCTGCAGCCTTAGATGCTTAACTTGGCTCTGGGACAGTGATAGAGAATACGAGCCCAACCGCAAATGCATGTGGCTTCCTCTAATTGACTTTTGCCCCCAATCAATATCTACGTTATGGGGCAAACATATTCATTAAAGGAACCATCTGCTGATTAAATCATATCGATTTGGAGGAGTATAATTAAGATAAGCACGAGACGGGAGTACTGCTGTCGCCTAATCTGGCCCCCTTCGCAGCAAGGATTGAGAGGATCACTGTAAATTCTGCGGAGGGCTCTAGTGGGGGTTATTACTCTTTTTTTTCTGTACCTTGCTCCTTCAGTGTGACCAGGGCGGTGTCGGTGCCGAAGCGGTTCCAGGCGGTGCAGTTGTAGCGCAGCTGGAAATCCTGCGCCAAAGTCTCAGACAGCACCAGGGTGGACAGCACTCCATGGTCACCGGCGACTGTCTGCACTGAGTAACGTCCGGAGGAACCAGAGGACAGGCTCACGTCTCCGAAGGTCCACACCTGTTGAGAGGAGAATGAGAAAAGACAACTGGGAGTAAGTCACTTGTCTATGAAGTGTGCAGAGGCCTGTTTATCGTCAGATCCTGGCCTGCCGCTGACTGAACACCAGATTCTCTCTCTGTTCTCGACCGCTAACGTGCTACGTGGCTGACACAGCTCACACGCTCATGTTTAAGCTGCCTCCCACGTCTGCCCTGCAGGTGA